ATAGGTGCTACTCCCTGAGGTGAATATACTAAATTGCTCACTGCCTTTAGCCTTAGTGACTTCAATATCACTAGGCATTCTGTCTGGTTGGTATTCTTGTAATGCCGTGGCAATTTGATCCACTTGCATTTCCAAAGCTCTCAAAGACAAACTATGACTTTGCAACCATGCCCCTTGACTTTGTAATAATTCTTCTTGACTCTTAATAGATGCATCATGATCTTGTAATAGAGCTTTTGTAGTTGCCATAAAGTCTTGCATAGTGGCCTCTAGAGAACTTGTATTAAGTGAAAATGTTGTCCCTTGATTATGCCATGGCATATTCGTTTGAAAGGCTGGGGGCTCATCTATATACTGATGTTGAGCGAGATGACTGACATTACAAGCTCCTTGATTTTCCCATGAGAAATTGGGATGTTGACTCCATCCATTGAAGCTTCCCACATAGTTTATGGACTTTTGATTGTTCGGGCATTCACATTCATGGTGATTGTCTTGGCATAACAAACATGCTAAGCTATCAAACTTCACTTCTTTCATCTTCTTAGAATTTTGCAAATTCTTCAACATATTGGTGATGGTAGAGAGTTGGGCCGACACTGAATCTTCAGCTTCCAACTTGAATGTCCTAGATGCCTTCCTTATAGTTTCAAACCTTGAAGAGGGAAATTGGTAATCATGGTTAGCAATTCAATCAAGAATGCCAAAAGCCTCTTCAGGTGATTTGTCAAGCAAAGCGCCATTTGTCCTGGCGTCTAGCATCATCCTCGTGGGTGCATTGGCTCCATTGTAGAACATCACGACTTGAGTCCAGTTGTGGAATCTATGGTTGGTACATTCGCGAAGCAATTCTTTGTAGCGGTCTCAACACTCATGCATTGACTCGTCATCAGCTTGGTGAAAAGATGCTATGGCATTCCTAAGATGGTTGTTCATATTCGGTGGATTATGTCGTAGCAAATTTTTTTTGCACAATTCAGCCCAAGACCTTATAGAGCCGGAAGGTAATCCATTGAGCCATGCTTTGGCATCATCTTTCAAAGAATATGGGAATAACTTCAATTTCAGCACATCTTCATGCACACCTTATTGTCGAAAGGAGTCACAGACCTCCAAAATTTCTCGAACATGTTGCCTTGCATCCTCATGAGGAGCACCACCAAACTTTCCAATCAAGTCCAAATGTCGAACATAACTGGTTTGAGCTCGAATTGGGTTGCCTGAATCTTGGGAGTTATAATAGCAGGTTTTATGTCATCCAAGGTGGGAGCTAAGTAATCTCTAATAGTTTGTGGTCGAGCAGCATTCCTAGCATTTGGAATTGTCGTGGCATTTAGAACTGCAGGATCATTCACTTGATTTTGAACAACATGAGCCTCAGGTTCTGTATGAAATAATGGTTCTTTGGGTCTTTTACTTGTCATGCGACAACGTAACACCTGAAAAAGGTAAACACAAAAACAAGTAACTATGTACAAAGAAAATAAATAAAACGGTGCAATAACTAAACTCAACATCGTCAATTGCCAATCCTCGGCAACAGCGCTAAAAACTTGTTTGCGTGTTGTGAGTACTATAAAATATACGCAAATAATGTACAAGTATACACAATCGCTCAAGTAATAAAGTGATGAGTGAGTATCGTCTCCACAGGGATTGGAAGGATATTGAGTAAAGTTTATGCACTATTCTATCTAAGTATAGTTAGTCTTGATATATACAAATGTCATGGCAATGGATATGTGTATGCTGGTGAATGTGGATTGATGGTGTGATGGTGTAGCAAATGGAAATGCAGTGGCAAGAACAGATATTCAATGTTGGAAATGATGAAATGTCAAGGCAATAAAAAATAGTAAAAACAATAAATAAAAGATAAATAAAATAAAAAGAAGATAATCCTCACGTGACAAGCTTTCAATGGAATGAATGGTAAGGATTGATCTAAGAATGCTAAACTGATCTCTCATGTAGATTTAAGTTATCTGGTCTTTACTTACTTGACAGGGCTTTCCTAAAATGTTCTCACATGAACCTAATAGAATAGGATGCCAAGGTATCTGCTCTCACTCATCGATGTTGGACAGCCTACCCTATTGATAAAGACACCCTTTTTAGTCATTGAAATCCTATCCTAGTCTCTTCCGAGATATAAGGGATTAGGTTATAATATTCCTAGGCCGGTTCAAAACCCCTTGAAAATACTATAACCCATTGCTTATGAGGATCTTGCCTTGCGTTTCTTCCGAATACTTACAAGTATTTTTAGCTTAGGATTCTTCCGAACACCTCACCTTCATCTAATAAATGGATATTTCCATGCCTCTTACAAGCCTAGATGGTGAAACATTCATAAGCAAAGCAAATAAAGAACCAAAATAAAGTTAAATATACCATTAAAATAAAGTTAAAACATTCATTAAACCAACCACCACCAAATAAGTTAGTTCATGGTGGGGTTCGAAATATCCATAGAAAAATCCACAAAATATTTGTTCCAACAACCCACAAATAAAATAAATAAAATAACAGCAAAGGGAAGTTAGAAAGAGCCTTTGACGCGCGCCACCGGAGGTCTCCTCGGCCACCACGAACCTCCTTAGCTCGCTAGCTCCTTTCGGTGCCTAGCTCGCCACTCCTTGAAGCTTTATCAATGGAGTAAAGCCCAAGGAAGAAGAAAGAAAAAGGGAAAATAAAAATCTGATTTTTCTGCTACAATATGCGTCTCTTTTCTTCTACACACACTCTCTCTTGTGAGGTGTAATATATAAAAAATATCTAGGGGTAATGATGAGGTTGTTGGGATATTGTTGGGTGCAAAATACCCCTCATACCCCTAGAATCACATGTTGTGCATAAACCTTATCCTCCAGGTCTCAGTGGTCCCCTAGCAGGCTGTTACAGCCATCATTTCACGTGCAGAGCCAGCTGTCCACGTACAACTGTATATTTTTGTCGTTTTCTACGCCAAAAATGCCGAGGCATTTCAATCTGCTTCAACAACGTGTGATGTCGCGGTATTACTTCCCAGCTCGCCTATTTTGCTTGTTATTTCCTGCACATACTAAAAATCACACCTTCCTCTTCATATAACACCTTAATAAAATAAATAACACAACTACAAAAAATGCAATTATATGCAACTACATACATCTAAAATGACCTATATGTAGCCTTAAACAAACAATAACTTAAGTTGAAAAGGCCTTAAAAATAGTCTTTTTACGGAGTTATCAAGATGACAACAACATCAAGGCCAAATCCTCATCTTTGAAGGTTTCATCCATGCCCAATAAGCCTGCCACTAGCTCATTGAACGCAGTGATGTGTTCATTCATATTGGTGCCTGGTTGATAATCAAATCTGAACTATATTTTCTTCATGTGGAGACGATTCTGAGATTTTTTCTTTAGGAATTTTTCTTCCAATGCTTTCCACATCTTACTTGCAGAAGTCTCGTTCTTGTAACCATACTTCTGCTCCCTGGAAAGACAAGATCGAATCGTGATGCACGCCAAACGATTGATTGTTCCCCATTCTTTCTTCTCTATATATTCGGGCTTTTCTTCCTCAATGGCGATGTCTAGACCTTGTTGGAATAAAGCGTCTAACACCTCGCCTTGCCACATGCCAAAATGACTGGATCCATCGAACAATTCCACCGAGAAATTTGCATTTGACATCCTCCTCCTCACCGGTCTGGATGAAGAGCTTGATGTCTCAACTGATCCGTATTTTGACATTTTAATTCCAACGAACAATATTCAATAGCACGAACTGTATATTTTCAGTAACGGAACCACCAGGATAACCTCAACCGAAGCTCTGATGCTAATTGTTGGAGAAATCGGGTTATTTCCCACACGAACGTAGTTTCAAAATTGACCTAAAATATCAAGATCAAAACCACCAAAGATTGCACAGCGGATAAACCTATCAAACTATTGAATATTGAAACACAATGGAAAAAAACCGAATAAAAACAATAAAGGAGAGAACACACTAAATTTACGAGGTTCTACGAGAATATCGTCTACTCCTCGAGCACCACACTGGATGATAACTTCACTATATCGCCAATATTACAACAAATGGAATCTTTAGAATTCCCAAAGTGGGAGAATGAAGAATACAAGAGGAAGAGAGAACTTGTTTTTGGGATGATTTCTAATGGAAATACTTAGGCTTATTTATAGTTGAGTTTTAAGAACAATATGTTCAAAGTTTGGCCACCTACCAATGAATTTTCCAATCTGTACAAGTTAACCACCAAATATGAAATTCACATGTTCAAAGTTTGGCCACCAACCAAAATGAAATTTCCAACTTACCAACTTAATTTCTAGACAAATATAACAACAACATCATTCATGTCCATCCGCTCACTTGGTGATTCAGCAGAACAAGTGAGACCTATTTCAAATATCAAATTCAAGCACTGAAGACTATCGTTTCTCATTCTATTTTTATTGCGAGTGATATCTGCTATTGTTCCTCCTTTGACACTCTCTTGAAGAAGAATAGGATCTATAACCTCAATTATTCGATTAGGAAAAGCTTCTCTAAGAAAGTTATGAAGACTTAAACCTTCTATAAACCTTTCATCAGTTGGCCTTTTCCTTGTAAACATCTCTAGCAAGAGGATGCCATAACTATACACGTCACCTTTTGTTGACAGCTCACTTCCAATGCCATATTCTACAATTAGTTCATCACAAATTACATATATAAATAATAGGAGAGAAAAACACTATAAATAATTGTAGAAGAAATTAATACAATGTAATTACCTGGTGGTGCATAACCAATAGTTCCTCTTATGTAAAAGGAGCTTAACTGATTACCAGGATGGTTAAACCTATCTTCAAGAAGTACTTTTGCTAAGCCAAAGTCACTTATGTGGCCAACCATTTCCTCATCGAGTAGAATATTGCTTGGCTTGAGGTCGTAGTGAATGATAGACGTTTCACAATGATGGTGCAGATATGCGAGTGCATGAGCTACATCTATGGCTATATCAACTCTTTGGAAGAAGTTCATGTTTCTCATCATCTCTGGTTCATTCATGGTGATAGATGGATGCAGTCAGCCCTCCAAATTTCCATTTTCCATGAACTCATAAACCAAGGCTTTAAAATCATTGCCTTTGTAATCGACCCCCGAAACAGCTGTTAATACCTTGACAAGATTTCGACGTCGAATGTTCTTCAATGCCTCATATTTAGCCAAGAAACTCATCGATGCTCCATGATTTAGAAGATTAAGCACCTTTACTTAAATAGTTGCTCTAGTCTAATCAAGAATTCCTTTGTATACATAACCGAAACTTCCCGAACCAACCAAATTTTGTATGGCGAATCCATCAGTAGCCCTTAAGATGCTTTGGTATGATAATTGTAAAAGTGAATTTTCTGCACATGTTGATGTTGCCTTTTGCGTTTCCTTTTTTCTAAACCAAAAGATGAGGAGACAAGTGAAAACCAAACCCACTCCCAATATCACACCAATAATTGCAATTTTTAACTTGCTTTTGGATGTTTTTGAGTTACATCTCGGCAATTGCAACTCAGAGATGCCTCCACAAAGCTTATTGTTTCCCTCGACGAAGGTAGCACTTACATTCTTAAAAACTCCTTCACTCGGTAACACTCCTTCAAAATCATTGAAAGAGAGGTTTAAATACTTTAATTTTCCAAAGTTTTGAAGAAATTCTGGAACTCCGCCTGAAAGATTATTGTCAGATATGTCCAAGGCTTCAAGACCTCTCAATGAACGCAAGGATGAAGGAATGGGCCCTTCAAACAAATTGCCATCCAAGAACAATTTATCCAGACCTATACAACTACCAAGTTCGTTTGGAAGCAGGCAGGATAACCTGTTTTGAGAAACATCCAATTGACTCAGGAATATCAATTTTTCTACTTCAACAGGAAGCTCACCGGTCAAAAAGTTTGATGATAAGTTTAGTACAATGGACAAGGATGAGAGTCCAAGTACTTGATGGGGTATTGGTCCACTAAGATGGTTATTAGAAAGATCCATCTCAAGCAAATTTTGGCACTTTCCTAGACTTGAAGGAATGTTTCCCTGAAGATTGTTACCATCTAGAAGGAGTTTGGTTAACTCTATCAAATTTCCAATAGAATGAGGAATTGTCCCAGAGTGAAAATTCCTTCTATTGTAAAATATCTTCAACTTTTGAAGCCTCCCAATACTAAAGGGAATTGGACCTGATAGTTGATTTCTTGATGTCACAAGCACTTCCAAATTGATTAGATTTTCAATCGCATCCGGGACTCTACCCAATATTTTGTTATTTTCTATTACTAAATGCAAAAGGGATCTAGAAAAATTGGTAATGCATCCAGGTAATACTCCTCCAAAATTACTTCCGCTTATATATAGAAATTCTAGTTCAGTTTTATTGACTAAAGTGTAGAGAAAGTTCAAGTAGCCTTCTCTCCCATATCCCAAAGGGTTTAAGCCTAGGAGAAGGTAAGACAATTTATCCAAATTTTCTAATGAAGGCACGCTTCCACTCAGTCTGTTATCATCAACTTGGAGTACATTCAAATTTGAAGCATTGGATATTGAAATTGGGATTTGTCCATTGATTTGGTTTTTTGCTATTGAAAAGAACTCAACATTTGGCATAGAGATTTCTAAGTTAGAATGAAGAGTACCTTGAATCTTGTTATGACCAATATCAAAGTTTCTAACATTTGAGAGATTGAAAATTGCAGAAGGAAGCGTACCAGAAATTGCATTGTCTTCTAATAAGAAAAATGAAAGATTTGTTAGTTGTACAAGAGCTTCAGGTATAGTGCCAGTTAATCCATTCATCGCCAAATAAAGGTCCTCCATGGATGACAAGTTCCCCAACGAAGGTGGGATACTCCCTCTCAAATTGCTTTTTCCAAAACTCAAGATTTTCAAGTTTGACAAGAGACCCAATGAAGCAGGTATTTCTCCTGTTAGTTGGTTTTTTCTCATATCAACCACTGTAAGCTTAGAACAAGCTGATAAATTGGAAGGAATTTCACCACTGATGGAGTTATTGGTGAGGTCTAATGTTTCCAGTCTTCTTAAACGTCCAATTTCTTGAGGAATCTCTTTGTAGAAGCTGTTTCCCACTAGACTCAACTCCCTAAGAAAGCTCAAGTTTCCAATGTAAGGTGTTAAGAATCCTGAGAGTTTAAGGAATTGCATTTCCAACTTGGTGACTCTCTGATGCTTGCGACCGCATGTAACGCCACGCCACTGGCAGAAGTGAATGGAACTATTCCAGGACTCCATAATATTGAGCTGATCACATGTTATCTTGGCTTTGAACTGGAGTAAAGCTTGTTGATCAGTGTCATTTCCTGTAACAACAAGGGTTGTTGTTGCTGTTGCTATACCAAGCGCGTTAAGACCCTGCAAGTTGAAGCATGAGAGAAGAACTACAGCTTCAACGCAAACAAGGAAAGAAGAGATGGAGGCTTGAGAATGCTTTTTTGTTAGCTCCGTGGAACTGAAACAATTTCTTAATTGGTGAGATTGATTTGTATTTGAGTGTTTCGTTCATCAACAAGAAATATATTTATGGAACTCTGATATTAAAATTTTCTATGTCCCGTCAATTGTTTTAAGTTTTCCAACTTAGAAAGTCATGTGTCTACGATTTCTATGGTTGATATATTCAACAACACATTAATTTCTTGTATAAGAAAATGAGAGAGGAGACTTGTCAAGTAAACGCTGAGGAAAAGCTGGAGGATATAAACTCCACAATTATGGCTGAAAAGATGGATTCCATGGAGACATCACAATTATGGACCCCAATTTAGAAGATAATGTCTAATTTATCTAATATTTAAACTTACAACGACATAAATTATTATTAGAAATTTTTTTTTGAGAAATTTAGATTATCTTTCTTTAGTTCAGCCCTTAATTAAATATTTAATGAATTATTGTATTTTTTTGATTTGAATATTTATTTTTACATTAACTAAAACATTATTAAATTAAAATCTATTGAATATATAAATTTTTTAGAGGGTTAAGGTTTCTTTGAGCCCAACAGAACTCCATCTAGGCCAATACCCTAAACCCTAATGACAATAATTATTTAACGTTTACATAAAGTTACCTTGTCACTTCTTTGTCTTGGGTTATTTTCGAGACCGTATTAAGTGTCTACACGAGTTCTGTTCAATTTAAATGGGAGAAAATATTATCTTCATGAGTTGATCCTTCCGTGCAAGCTATTGAGTTACTTTTAAGGTGCATATATGCTTTCTGCTTTCGTGAGATTGTAAGTATTACTACGCTTATTAGGTGACAATAAGGGCAATTTAGATCTCTTTTAGAATCCAGCCCCATATAGTAGACCATAGGAGGCCATCTCAATTAGACCCATGTTGAACCCTTACTGATTAGTGAGAGAGTTTCTATGGTATTTAGGGCTTGGATAAATGATGATGAAACCTTTTGAGTATGTAAATTGCTACAATTTAATGAGTTTTGGATGGTGAGGGAATTTCAATTCTGTTTAGGACTTGGATGTAATAACGATGAAGCTCTTGAGTGTAGTGGATGTTATGTCTAGTGACAATCGTAATTGAAAGAATGTGAAATGGTGATGACAAATTAAAAAGGAGACTCGCGGCTTTTAATAGTCTAAGAAACTTAGGATTTTTTGGAGAAGAAAATGACTCTAATACGTCACTTCATTATTTCTTAAGGATAGCTAAAAATAATGATCATAAAGGATACGAATTAGAAGTTTGAAGTTTAGTCAAAAGAAAAAATTCGATGATTGTATTATAATTTTTAAAAATTCGGTGACTATTTATATAGTTTATGATTTTTGTATTTGATACTTATAACTTTTGTCCAACTTGATACTTGAACTTTTTTAAGATGTCCAAATTGATACGTGTACTTTTTTTTAATTCAAATTGATACTTAAATTTAATTTTATATCATCAGTTGAACACCTCAAATTATTGATAAGAGGTATCAATTATACATTCGAAAAAACATTAATTTCTTGTGTAAAACAATGATATGAGGAAGACTTCAAAGTAAATTGTGGATTCTATGGAGGGTACCGACAGTAGGATCACAATTCTGTGGCTTGACTTTTTTTTGAAGCAATAATTGATGCACACTCACCACTTTCTAAATAATTGTATAATGGAAGTATAAACCAAATTAACTAAGAACATTCTACAACACACATTGTTGAGTCCATCAATTAAGTAGCAATATTTAATGAAATTATGCAGTAGACATGTAACTAGGTTGAACAATGTTTCTGAGCTGGTTTATGATGCTAAGACAAAAAAAAAGATAGATTAATACAAACTACACTGACAAATTATTGTTGGAAAACTGGAACAACTCCATGTTTGTTTTCTTTAATGTAAACAAAAGAGAACAACAAGCACTTCTCCAGACCTAAGCCTCTTAAGTTCATCCATACCACACCTTAGATACCTACAACTTATAAAAACAAGTATTTATTTAAGCACCCCATTACATCAGAAAAGTAATGTAAATGTAGCTTAAGTAAGATAAGAAGACATTATAACCTGATGATTGAGCAGCATAGGCAGTTTGAATCTCATGACAGAATCGCGTTGGACGAAGAAGTTTGTCCCTAGCAGAACAAAGCTTAGTAACAACATCACTCATGCCCATCCGCTTACTCGGTGATTCAGCAGAACAAGTGAGACGTATTTCGAATATCAAGTTCAAGCATTGAAGATTGTCATTTCCCAGACTGTTTTCATTGAGTGTGTTGTCTGCGACTGTTTTCATTCGATCAGGAAAAGCTTCCGAAACAAAGTTGTGAAGACTTAAACCTTCTTTAAACATTTCATCAGTTGGCCTTTTCCCCGTAAACATCTCCAACAAGAGGATGCCATAGCTATACACATCACCTTTTGTTGATAGCTTGCTTCCCATTCCATATTCTATGATTAGTTAATCACATATTATATAAACAAATAATTATGACAACTATCGTTTCGGTGTCAAAATAAATTTCTTATTCTCAATCATTAAATAAAGGAAATATGTAGTAAAGAGAAGTAAGAGTCGATTCCACAGGGACTTAGAAAATTATAAATTTCTGTCTGATTTATTTATGTCAGGCGTGAAACAGTACAAATGGGGGGGAATTTTGGTAAAAATATATTAAAATAATAAAAACGATTAAATAAATAAAAGTAATTAAAGTAAAAATAAGAAGATGAAGATTGTGAATAAATTCGATAAAAGTAGCCTCAAGCTTCGCTTTGATTCAATTTCCTTATGATCACCGAATAAGATTTTCTCTTCGGGATTCACGTCGGTTACTTTGTCTACAAAGGCTATCCCCGTGACTCTATCTTGTATACCGAACACTCAAGACAATCTTTGATTCCGGCTTCGATAATTGATTTTAACGAAATAAATTGTCGTAGATCAATTACCGTTTAAGTTCGTAGCGTCCGACTCAGATTGCTGCTTCTATAACCGTCAATTCCAATCTCAATTCCCTCTTGGCGAAACTATCTCGCCAAGTGTGTTCCCAGGAAGTCAAATTGCTTTTTATAAGTCGAAACTTCCTCCCACATATTTAATCGCAACAACCTCTTTACTAAAGTCAATCTTTGATTTTGAAAACTGTTTTGATTTTGAAAAATAAGTGCAGAGATTGAGAGAGATATTCCGAAGATAATAAGGGATCGTTTCAATTCTCCCGTTAGAATTGAATCATCGCGACAGCTATCAGCTTTTGAAAAGTTTAGCTAAGCATGACAAAAGTCATACTTAGCATTTTGAAAACAAAACTTGAAAATAAAAGAAAAAAGGGAAAAACTTGAAAAGAAAAAAGAGAAAACTTTAATAAAACTAGAGAGAAAAGAAGAATGTAATTTGAGTGATGAGTTTAGGCTTACCCCAAGTGGGTATTTATAGCCTCTCAAAACCTAAAGGGTAAGCAAAGAAAATAATTAAATAATACAAAAGACAATTGTTTTTAAATTTAAATTCAAACTTAAACTAGTCTCCTAATGCAACTCTACTCGTCAATCTTCCAGAAGGCGTGCAGATGAAGTATTCTAGAAATCGCCGCTGACTGGACCTTCTAGAAACTGCCACGTCAGACCGCGTCGTGCCCAGAGTCGTGCCCATGTCTCCAGCTGTGACCAAATAATAAAAAAATGCAGAATTCACCCGTTTTATCACAAATTCTGGAAAGTAAGGACCTGCACGAAAATAGGCATAACACAACCAAATCAACAGTAATAACTCCAAAAAATCGAAGAAATAACGAGCAAAGATTAACTATTCTGAACACTCATCAAATTCCCCCACTTATCTCATGCTTGTCGTCAAGTATGATTAACCAAATTAGTCAAAAACTTCATTAAACGTTCTTTGTCAAGTTTCATATTCAAGGAAACAATGTAGAGACCACAATAACTATTCAAGTCAAGAAATCAATCAATTGAACATCACCAATTGGAACAAGTCAAGTGCAATTGTAATATCCATTCATTCATTAATCTAAATGCTCATAACTCAACACCTTACCGGGATTCACTCAAATCACTCAATGTGTTTGGGGTAAAGAAACGCTCAATGTCAGAATTTACATGGTATTACCATAAGCCTGCAAGTAAATCAAATCTCCACTACTAATAAGAACAAGATGCATAAATCAAAGGGTCTTTTATTGGTTGTAACGGGACTTAAGTAAAGGTAGGGAAAAGGCTAAATATAAGGCAAAAAAATTCAAGGCAAGGAACTAACAAATAATAATTTCAACTCCATTAAAACAAATATTAAGCACAACAAGATAAAAAGACTACATATATCAAACAACAAAATGCATTTTTTTTTCTCTTTGTTTTTGTTTTGTTTTCCATTTCACATCTTTTTTTTTCTTTTTCTTTCAAACATCATTTTTTTCGTTCGAACTGCTATTTTTTTCTCACATTCAACCCCTTTTTTATGGAGCATACAATGGTAAAATTATTCACTTGCCCTGAAGAATGTAGAAAAGATGGATAAAATAAAAAGGTTCGGGTTTATAAATATGGTGAAAACAAAGAAACGAGAAAAGGCTCAAAAGTGTTTAACTAAGGGGAAAATGCATGGGTAGGCTATTTAGTGGGGAAACAAAATGATTAATCCTAAGGTGCCCAAATCATCTTTAAGCATCATGTTCATGTGTAATTTCAACAGTATTTAACATGCAGGTTCTAGAATACCAATGCCAAATTCGACACACTCAATCAAACAAAATGAGAGCAAAAATGATATGCTCGTAAAGGCTCAAATCTCACCAAATTGTTTCATGCATTGAGCTAATCACATTTCAACCAACAAAGTCATGGAATATCACAAAAACACCAACTTATCACAATTCATGCTATTCGATATCAAGAACATCCTAACCTAAACAATTATGTGTTCCCAAACAAACATAGCATTCCAAAAAAAATTCAACAAGACAAAAAAATTCAATGAAATTTTCGACAAATCCAATCAACACATACTAGCATCGAAACATAAAGATAAGCAAAGGGAAATTCAATCCTACACTCTACTCTACTCCCCCTCACTTAAAGCGTTTTGCCTCAAAACGAAAAAATTAAAGTGCAAGAGAAGGAACAGAGTACTCCCCGGATTTAATGTCGACCACGGTCGCGATGAGAGGCGCTAGGACGTAGGTAGGAGAGGATCTCTGTGATGTTCGTCTCGATGGAGTGGGGGCGGTCGTGGACTTTATCCATTTGGGTTTTGCTAACGTGTGCCACCCTCCTCCAAGGGCTTTGCTAACGTGCGCCGTTTAATGAAACGGTACGCACGGGCTGGGGGGTTTTTTTCTGCTTTGTGCGACTGTTCACTGCTCTGTGGGTTTCGAAATTGGCATAGTTCGAATGAAATTTCCATAATTCTTCGTCGTTTAACTTTGAAAAAAAAATATTTGGTTCCTGCAAAATAAAAATAGAAATTAAATTAAACATGTTTGATCGAATAAAAATGAAACAAAAAGTGAAGATAAAAATAAAAAATGTAACGAAATTGAAAACAATGGGTTGCCTCCCATGAAGCGCTTTTGTTTAACGTCGTTAGCTCGACGACCTGATTCAGACTACAGGTTCTGTGACAAACACTTCCACTTCATTTGCTTTTTCCAACTAAGAAGTTCTTTATGAGAAATTTGAAAATTCTCACAAAGATTTCTTCGGATATTTCCCAATTTTAAAATCTTGTCCAGAAGAATGGCTGTCAAAACATTTTTTTTTACCAAAAAATGATTTCTTCAAATGGCTCCTTGATGATTTCGATTTAATTTTTGGTGCTTGCAAAAAGGAAGGTAAATCTTTAGTTTTTAAAGGAGTTAAGATCAAATTTGAATCAACAATTGAAATATTTTTCAACTCCCTTATGTCTTCTTTGTTATCATCCGACTCCTTGCATAAATCATCAACCAAGTTAGATTTACCATCAATAAGTTCAAAAATGCCAACAAAATTAATACTATGAACGTTATCCGGATATCTCATTGCTTTATAAACATCAAATTTTAAGATCTCACCGTCGAACTCCATAGTAAGAATATCACTTCGAACATCAATTTTTGCATTTGTCGTGCTCAGAAAGGGACGACCGAAGAGGATTTCAGAACCAATGTTGCTACGATCATTTTCCATATCAATCACATAAAAATCAGCAGGGAAAATTAAATTTTCTACCTCTACTAGAACATTATCTATGAGTCCTTCAGGATAAATAATTGATTTGTCGGCTAGTTGAAGTGCAACTCTCATCTCCTTCAAAGGCTTGGTGGAAATTAAATTATAGACGAAGAGAGGCATTACATTGATAGGGGCACCTAGATCGCACATAGCTCGCTTAATTTTAACCTCACCAATTTTACAAGATATTGAAAACATACCTTGGTCTTTATACTTCGGTGGAAGCGGTCGTTGGAAAACTGCTGAGACGTTCGCGTCTAAATCCACTTTCTCGACCTCGGTAAGCTTCCTTTTAGTCGTACAGAGATCTTTAAAAAATTGGCAATACCTTGGAACTTTCCGGATAACCTCGAGGAGAGGTATGTTAACTTCCACCTTCCGAAGTATGTCTAATATTTCCTTTTCCTCAGTATTTTTATCCTTTTTAACTAACCTTGATGGAAAAGGCGGTGGCACGTCATAGGGGGATGACATCGGGTCGTCTATTTGCTCTTTATCATTCTCTTTTTGGGATCATGCATCATCAGTTTCTTCTTCCCTATGGGAGTTAGAATCTTCTTGTTTCTTCTGGGATCTTGAACATACCTCCTTTGGGTCTGGTTGTTCAACAATTGTACCGCTTCGGAGGGTGATGACGCTAACATTCTCTATTGGATTCGGCTCAGTTTGTGATGGTAGCCTCCTTTGTTACTCTAACCTCCCCACGGCTTAAGTCAATTGGCTTATCTGATTGTCCATCTCTTGGAAGTGGGCTTCAGTTCAAGTCTAGATTTTTTCCTGGGATAGTGCTAACCTCTCGACAATCGATTCTAATGATGACTTATGCAGTTGTTGCGGTGGTGGAGGTCTCGCTTGATAGCCTTGATTCGGTCTCGGGTTCTGGGCATAACTGAAGTTCGGATGATCCCTCCATCCTGGGTTGTTGTATTTCCGTAAGGATTATAAGCTCTTTGGGGAGGTCCCGGGAAATTCCCGACTGCGTTGACTTGAGCTGTTGTGTCGTCTTGAATCAGTAGACAACCGTCTGTTGGATTATCAGGTAATGCACATATTTCACATAATCGATTTTGTCATGTCTTTCCTGCAACAAGAGAGTTTACGACTTCAGTTAACTTGTCAATTTTATTTTCTAAGGAAGATGAACTTATCTCATGAACCCTTCGAGAAGGTTCATTGTTTGTGCGAAATTGTTGGGAATTTGCGGCCATAGTG